CAGACATGCCATTATAGCAAGTAAGATAGGGTTCCACGGGAACGATGCTGACAACAGAGAAAAAAGCAGAAGGTAGTTGATGAAACCGTTAAGGTACCAACTGGATATAGTTAGACTCTCGTCAACGAAGCGTCAAAGCTATGTAATTCTGCACCTCTGCCGAAGGGAGTTATACTACTCATGTGTCAACATTACGATGCGCGCTCATGTAGAACCAAACATCGCCCACAGAATCATTGGAAGCCTGCCAGGGTAGTACAAGAGTTTGGCTTGTTAAAGGGTGATTAGCACTTGTACCTCACATTTAAAAGAAAATGCTGAAGGAAGTATTGGAAAATTCCACTGTCTGAGCCACTGAAAAATTCCCTTGAAAAATCGTGTAACATCCTTTCCTCGAAAATTAGAGGATTAAAATTTGAAAGTCCTGATGTCCAGAATTCAGAACTAACTATGTAGTTTTAATACTGTAGTAAAATTATGCTTCCATGCCTGCGTAACGATTACCTTTGGTGCCAGATCTTCTACAAGTGCGAGGTACGAGCCTGCTTATGTTGCCAGTATCTCATAGTGCTGTAAATCGCCTTGACTCACCTAACAGCTGACTGCTGAATGACAGTCAGCACCAGGAGTAATCCCTGTTGCCGTTGTGATAACTCTTATAGGACCATATATCTGTGAAGCGGCAGTAAATACGATTAACTGGATAACCTTTATGGCTTGAACGTCTCCTACTGCCATATACCACAACATCAACAACGCTGCTGTAGATCAGAACAATAAACAACAATCGAACATCGACCCTTGCCTGGAAAGTTCATGAAATTCCATAGGTATTTACTGAACATCCAATAAACCACTGATTTTCGTGGTGCATGATAAAATCATCTTATGCCTATCTTTCTGAATGATTAGAAGTGCACAAAAAACATGTTTGAGTTTTACCTGTAAAAACAGTACACAAAAGAGATCATGAAAGGTCTTCAAAAAGTAGAGCACTCCGCAAAATCCTCCATGATGAATAATCTCAATGTTTCGGATAAAGATTCGTCCATCTTCATGGGATATTATGCGCTAACAATATACAAGCATAACGCTAAAAAATTCTCACATACTGTCCCATGAACATATTAGATGAAGCTCGAAGGATCAAAATTAACTTAAATAAAACTATTATACAGAGCAACCACTATGAAAAACTTGGCAATGAGTATTATTTGCACCCGCACAAAAAATTCAAGCAATGCTTTTAAAGCGGTAGGCAGTATTTCGACGAATTCAAGATATTTCACACTTAAAACGTACATTCACTTCGAAACAATTGCAAACAAAAAGGTTTATACGGCAGACAAAACTTATATCAAATTTTCATAGTCTTGACAAAAGATAATTAAATTTTTGGTACCGACTTTATTATCCTGACGTCTTTAGCTACTACCCTCTGGCTTCCAGGAATTATTACATTCAATCACCTGTGCTACAATTTTAGCACAACTGGGCTACCTTTAGTAGTTTATTACAGTTTTTTGGCCCAGTATTAAGGTAATTGGGATTTTCACCATCACAAACAAATATTAAATATCCTTCTAAAAATTACCGGATGGGAAGCGGTCATGATCCGGTTCAAGCGTGCCGTCTTCGTTACGTTTCCTTTCTGACCAGCAGTCATCTATATTGACGAATTCGTAGCCAACCTCCGCATATCCTTCACTTTTCAACAGATCCGCCATCTGCATGTACAGCCGCTCGCTGATACATCGCAGCGGATGACGCTGACAGTCCGTCTCGCACATGAACGTCATCCAGCTTAGCCAGCCCATTGGCGGGGTCCGCACAAGGCCATTGTCCAATGTCCGAGATGTATGAACAACGAATAAAACCAACAGCGCTATTAAATTCATCTTACGACAACTTGATGCACGAGCAACACACTTTATTCCAACCCCTGGACTTGACTTCGAATTTTACACCTGCATTTAACGCGTTACCGTAATTTTAACGATTTCCAGGTTAACTGAGAAACAGCGCGGGATCCAAAAAGTAACTGACCTTAATGTCATTTTGTTAATAGTACGCGTTCATAAATGATTTTTGTTTTTAAATGCAAGAAAATATAACCTGCGAAACTCAGTGGGAAATTACAACTAATACCCCTACCAGTTTCGCTTCTCACAGCAGCTTCTTGCTTTTAAAATCAATAATACCAGTTCTGGTTCAACTCTGCTGAAATGCTTCTTCCATATGTCTAGAGCGAATGACGGTGCGCTTACACTGAAAAGTAAGGTTTCAATAATTTTATGCAATGATTACAGGCGAAATTATGGTTAAACAATTTATAATAGCCTACCCGCAATATCGAGGTCATAGTTCGTCTGAGTGTAAGTTGTTTTTGAAACCAAGCAACGAAACGGCAACTATTTTGCATGTTAAATTTTACAGTTCAGTTAATATACGATGTTACTACTTTACTGTGATACTTTGCTAAGCACTGTTTATATAACTTCACTGTTTGCAGACGATTCTTGAATGATTAAAAATCTAGATGTTTTCTATCTTCAGCAATCAAATAACTATACTGTCCAATCCTTTAACGGAATTTTCGTCTTCAGTTTCATTTTTGCAATGAGGTTTTTTTGCTGATTTTAAGTAACTAATTTCAGCATTAAAATGTCAAAGCTAAGTTTTCAGTCTCCCCGGTCGTCGCACCGCATAAAAAGTACTTTTCATCGCTGTATTTCCAGAGGAGTTCAGTCATATAACACAAATTAAAAAGCTTAGTGATCAACATTGTTACAAGAAAATCAATCAATGGAAATAAAACAGTTATAATTAGTTAATTAACCGGTAGCAATTATTCATATTAATAATTATTTTCGCCCCTTTACGTAACGTTGCAACAATCATTTGGCATCACTTGATCGCCAACTGTTCAGATGGATGTTTTCCGAAGGTGGGAAAGTGCTCTAGCGGTTCTTTGACTAGAGTATTAAGAAAATTGTGGCACGCCGTATTCAGAGACTTTGGCAAACTATGATGGTCAAGCGCAACAGTGATGGTCAAATAAGAGGAAGCAATTCTTTGTTAATTCAGGAATCTTCCAGTCTCTTCCATGGCTTCTCTGTGCCATACATTCTTACGTAGTTCTGGTGGGCATTGCTCCTCCCTTTATTGTTCCATTACTAAGGATGTTTTCAGACGATTTTAAATTTACGATCAAAGATATTTCACCCTATGAATCATGCTAACTCCGCCATGGCCGGTCCCAAGCCCGGATGGGAAAGGAGGAGGGTTGGAGACCGTGGCAAGTCTCCATAAAATTCAGCCACCTGCCACTCATGGTACTGACCCCTTCGAAAATTATACCGGCTCTGTCGTCGCCCGGGTTACCAAGGGCC